CAAACCAATCCTGGTGCCGCACACATTCGAAAACGCGTTTGGCGGTGAGCATCTTGAACGGCAGCCTGTGAAGGGAGCGGTTCAGAACGCGCAGGTCCAGGATTGGCCGTAACCCACCGGTTTTCTTCGGGACAATGAAATACGGGCTGTAGAAGCCGGTCTTCATTTCGGCTGGAGGGACAGTCTCGATCGCACCCTTCCCCAGCAGGGTAGCAACCTCCGCTCTCATGATAGGGGCATTGCCACCGACCAAAGTGGAGCGGACTCCCCTGAAGCGGGGAGGAGACCGCGCGAACTGAATCGCGTAGCCGAGCCTGATCGTTCGTGCGACCCAGCGGGACAGGTTGGGAAGCTCTAGCCAGGCTCCCAAGGACTGAACCAGCGGGGTCATGCGAACCACAGACTTCCCGTCGGTGGGGCAGCGAGGCGGTATGACTGACCCAGACGTGGACGGCATAGCGGCCCGATGTGGGGGTGCAGTCATGAACCGCGCCCTGACAGAGGAGACCAGGGAAGGACGAACGTTCCACGGGGGTCTGCTCTGCCAGGGGTCTGGCGACAGAGGGGGATGAGAGCGGCACGGTCCGGGGACGGCGCGCACTGTCATCCGGCTCTGGGACAGAGGAGGACGAGGGGTGCACGGCCCGGGGGCGGCGCACCGTGTCGTCCAAGAACTCTGTATGCTCAGGGATGAATGTGTCACTTCTCTCAAGATTCTCCCCCGGCCCTCCACCGGGGGAAGGAGTGGTCCTGCTACCACCTCCTGAGAAGTGTACATCATCCCTGAGCAGCCCGTCTCAGGAGCGCCGCTTGACCCGGCCTTTAGCGGGGGGCGGGACTGGAGAGGGCTGGGGCGCCTTCCTACGGCCTCCTCCGCGACCGGGCCCGGGTGAAGGCTGCTGCTTGGGCCGGGCGGGAGGGGTGGGAGCCGTAGGAGGGCGCCCTCGGCGGGAAACAGACTGAGTATTCTGCCCGGTCGGCTGAGTGGAGGCAGCAGCGGGCCGTCGGGGCAGAATGTGCTTAATAGCCTCAGTCTGTTTCTGGGCAGTCGAGAACTGTTGGGCAAAATCCTCGACTGCACCGCCGAAAAGGCCATCTTGCGATATGGGGGTGTCGAGCAGCCGGGACCGCTCGGCATCCTCCACATCAGCAAGATTAAGCCAGAGGTGTCTCTCCTGGACCACGGCTGTGGACATCACCAAACCCAGGGAGCGTGCGGTCACCTTCGTCGCTCGGAGAGCAAGGTCGGTGGCGGCGCGCAGCTCATCGAAGAGCCCCGGGTCTGTCCTGCCCTCGTGCATGTCCCTGAGCATCTGGGCCTGGTAGACCTGCAGAATGGCCATGGCATGCAAAGAGGCGGCTGCCTGTCCCGCAGCTCTGTAGGACTTCGCCACTAACGCAGACGAGTACATACAGGCTTTGGATGGGTGCTTAGGCTCACCACGAGAAGAAGCGCTCTGAGGACACAGTTGCATCGCAACAGAGCGTTCAACCGGGGGGAGCCCAGTGTACCCACGGGCAGCGGCCTCATCGAGGGGAGGAAAGGCGGATGAAATCAGCGAGCGGTCACGGGAAGACATGGGAGTCTTCCAGGACTTCGAGATCTCATCATGCACGTCCGGGAAGAAAGGTATCGGGGCCTGACGCGGACGGGGGTCCGCAGCCTGACCCAAATACCAGTCATCCAGCCGCGAGCGCTCGGGGCAGGGCGGAGGGTTCCACTCTAACCCGATGCTCGCGGCGGCTCGAGACAGCATGGCCGTCATCTCTGGATCAGACTCTAGCACAACTGTATTCACACCCGAAGGTGGCAGCTGTGATGAGTCTTCACTTCCAGAAGACTCAGACCCACCTTGTGATGCTGCGATAGACATCGCGTCATCCTCTGGAGCGTCAAAGGAAACCCGCGGGACACCCGAAGATGATCCCGCCGGAATCCCCCGAACACTCACGGGTTGCAGCACTGGAGAGGATGCGGCTGGGCACGGACTGATAGTCGGCGCTTTGTTCCAAACCGTCATCCTCAGATCACCCTGGCCACCAGCCGAAGTACTAGCTCTATTTCTAGAGTCAGTAGATCGGGGTGTGGATGAGGGGACCCTCACTCTTGCGAGATCACCGAGTCTTGATCGTAATGCTGCGATGGTCATGTTCCCACAGAGAGAACATGAGTCATCCACGAGTGCTGCTCTAGCGTGATTAACGCCCAAACACACTATGCACCACTCGTGCCCATCAGAGTCATCAACGAGTCTACCGCAACCAGAAGTGCACGGGCGAGGCATCTTTAAAAAGACGTGCCGCGTGCAAGCTCTTTTGTGAGAAAAAGAAACTCTGACTGTGTTGAAGCGCCCGGGGAGAAACACACTCGCTGTCGAATCACGGACAGAAAAGCAGGAAGCGCGTCCTCGCCGGAGATCGCCGTCACACCAACACCAGAGAATCTCGCTCGTCTGCAGAACTGACAGTACAGGAATGGCTTGTGGAGCGAAGGATCACCTTGGCTCCGAAGCGAAAACATGCCGGTTTGCTGCCAGCGAGCTCCTTAAATACCCACGAGGTGGGGCGGTGCTACGCTATGCAAATTCCGCAGACCCATGGCATTTCTTTGCCATTGGCTCGTTTTGTAGTACTCGAAGTCGATTGGCTTTCTAAGCGAAACCCCCCATTCGTCGTCATCCGACGGAACTCGGAGTGACAACGAAAGGGAACTACTGGGAGGAAGGCTCTGGGGGGAAGAAGGCCTTGAAACTAAGATAAAAGCTAGTTCAGTCTGTCTGGGGGTGTGTCACTCTTCTGCACAGGGTAACAACTGTGTATTAGACTGCTCCTATTCTTGCAAGAATAAATACTTCTATTTTATATAATTTGACTCTGAGTGTCTCTTACGCAGTGATGTTTGTTTGAGATGAGTTTTTGCCACAACAAAACAACAATCGATTATGGGAATTTTTCTAAATTGACATCCCTGATTGAAATATTGATATTTTGACAACACTACTTGTTGTTGATAACTTATAGCGCCCCCTGCTATGCATTTAAGAGGTTATAACCTCTTAAATCCATAGCAGGGGGCGCTATAAGTTATCACATTACCAAACACTTGCTCGACCAACACAAAATGGGTGTCGTTTTAAAGCGTAGATGCTTGGCTTTACAGTGAATATATCTATGCTGTAACTTAACATTTAAATTTGCTGAAATATTAGAAGTTCTCTATTTTCATAGTGTGAAAAAATAACTGCTTTTCATGAAAATGTGATCTGTAAAATCATTGTGCATACCTGATAGAATTGTGTCATATATTGTTGTAAAGTTCACAACTAGCAGAATACAACAAGCATATTTGTTTCAGTTAGAGACCAAACTATACCAAGCCACAGTATATACACAAGATGCGTTTGCGCCACGTTTTTGTTTGTAACTTCACAAAACTTTAGTAAACCATAAGTAGATCACATATCTTTATTTAGAGCAGGTGGTCTCAAATGAGCCCAAACACAACATAAGACAATGCGTAGATCACGGAGTGACATGGCATGCTGCTTGGGTAAAGCTATAGGACTTCCAGGATTCGATCGTGTCGATTTTCCAACGTCATTTGAAAGTTCAACCAATGGAAACTGGCACTGAATTCGGAACCACATAGTAGTATCCTACTCGTACTACGATTACTATGGCAGACATAGTGAGAGTAGTACTGTTTCGAATTCAGCAATGCGGTTTTTATGGCAGTTTTCCCCGTGGAATCGGAAACGGTATCGAATATTATTATTTTCCAAGTTATCGTATCGAAGTTAGAAATTCCAGTATTGTGACAACACTACCTCCAAAGACCTCAGTTCTAATATTACAGTAATATTGCTGCAATGTTTGTTTTGTTGCTAGACTGATTGTGTTGTACACTGTAGCTTTTTTCTTAGCTGAAGCTTTACGATAATTCCAACTCAAATCAAAATTTCATGTCCATGTTGTGAACACACATGAATTAAAAGTGAACAATAGTACTTTTAAAATTAAATTAGCATTAACCTAGATTAAAATGTTTATTATTAGTTTATGATAGTTAATGCATACTTAAAGCAGTTTTATAAATATCATTAAGGAATTAAACCTTATTGTAACGTGTTACCAAGTTTTGTTAAACTCTCTGTACAAAAACAAAACAGGCATTCCACAGATTCAACATACCGAAGCAACATACAAACTTTGGGCAGTACTTTCCTGTTTATCTTTTGTGTAAAACAAATAGAGAGTCCAACAATAATAAGCGCCATTGTGCATTAAGATAAATAATCTATTCCTTTGGAGTCAGGAAACTAAAGTTGCCAAGATGGTGAGTTTCACTCTGCAATGCTCATATTGTGTGCATTGTGTGTATCCTATATGTGTCCAGGCCTTCCATTTGGATGGTTTCTGACTTGTCAGAATGGACAGTATAAATGTCCAACTCATTAGAAGTCAAAGCCAGGCATCCTTTGGATTGTAGTTTGGAGGAACCGCTCTCAGGTCAGTCTGAGGTCAACGCAAACCCTCCAGTCTTGTCGGCCTCAAGGAAATAGGATGTAGGAGACAGAATCCTCAGTGATCAGAGAGAATCCATTTGACTGGCTCGAGGAATAGAATAAAGTACTCTGAAAAAATAAAAGGGTGCGCAGAAGGGAAGGGTACCATGACTGCATTGCCATGGCTGCAATGTAGTACTCTACAATGAAGATAATCAAATCATCAAAGGCAAATCATATAGAATAGGTCAAACGCAGCCAAAATGATCAAAATAGAGCAAGAATATTTTCATAAATATGAGAGAAACTGATTTTGAGTCATGTTAGGAAAGATAATGCAGTTGGTAGATATTATTGCAGTTGTTTGAAGAAAATTATTCTCATCATAGTGAGTCACTAGGGAGAGGTGGAGATGAAATTTCTCACGCTTTTCTCTTGGCTATTGACTTGCTTTGAAATCTGATCCTTAATGACAAAGTTTGACAGATGATCAAAAAAATAAATATATAAAAATAACCCAGTTCACAGTAATAATAGCCCAAAGTTTGAGAAAAACGATGAACTGGGAATTGTTTCTTCCCTCTTAAAGGTCATCCAGGATTGAAACGAATCAACAGGTGAGGTGGCGGCAACTCCAACTCCACATTGGCCTCTTAATGTTGGGATACTCCTTGTGCAGTGACTTGCTTTTCTTCTCTTGCCCACTGTGCTCTTCCTTTACTCTCCCCTCTTCTGTTTGGAGGAGGGAGTTACCAGCCGTCTTGGCTTGCTTTGCTCTTGTCTTGCCCCAGACAGTCATCTTTCCCTGTAACGGCAGCAGAACAACCAGTTAAACTATGTGGAGCTGATTTGGCAGATAAACATGCTCTTAGTCTGTCGGTTCGTGCTAACCTAGACCACACTCCCATATGGTCAGGTTTTGAACAGAAGGGAGAAAGAACAAGAACAGTATGTGACTGTGCAAACTCTTTGCTCTGTGTGGAATTGATTAAGCAGTGCATGGGGGCCAAGACTCCTGCTTTATCTAGCTTACATTTTCCTATTACCTATTACGGTAGTGCTCGATTACTAGAATGCACTGCTTACAGGGTTTGATCCATAAAAATGGTGGTTTATAGATTCTGGCCTCTAATACAGCAAAAATGTATCATTTGCTTCACTTTCAACTTGCTTCAGTATTCAGTATTATAGTCAGTCAAGTCAAGTCAAGTCATCTTCATTTATATAGCGCTTTTAACAATGGAGATTGTTTCAAAGCAGCTTTACAGAGATAAACATACAATTTACGGTAACAGAGATTGTTTTGGCTTTATAGCGATTTTGAATAATGTTATTTCCGGCTAAAGTTGGTTTTGATTGATTCACTTCCAGCAAAATTATCATTTGTTATTACATTAGGGGCCACTAAGACGACGGCGTTCTCTCTAAACAGACTTTAAACGCGAACCTGTGACCGGATGGCGTTCACATGCGCATTAAAAATTGATTCTATAGTTATATTCGTTTGAATATGTGTGCGCAGGTTTGTAATTTCCCTACCAACCATGCCTAAACAAACTACTTGTCTTGCCTATAAATTTGATACAGAATTTTATTTATCACTTCGGGGTACGCAAACCGGATTTTCAACAACGCTTTATCTGTAGAGTGGGAAAGGGATCCTCCATAGGGAGAGGATAGTTGACACTTCAGCACTGCATTGTCATCGGGTCCAGGCGAATCTCCTTCGTCAGATCTGGATCCGGCCTGGATCCGGCATGCTGCAGGAAAACCTCGGGATAAACAAAGACACTAAAGTTAGCGTAGATGCCATTCTTCTTATGATGTAACGAGTACATCTGGATTTAAGGGAAGTGTTCCCAGTTCCGACTGACCTAATCTATGCAGCCTAACATTTAATTATAGAAGTCGATAATGTATTATGTGTATGCCAGGTCAAAGAGATGTGTTTTTAGTCTAGCTTTGAACTGACAGAGTGTGTCTGCTTCCCGGACAATGGTAGGAAGACTGTTCCAAAGTTTTGGTGCTAAATAGGAAAAGGATCTCCCGCCAGCAGTCGATTTTGATATTCTAGGTATTATCAACTGGCCGGAATTTTGAGATCACAATAGACGTGAAGGACTATAATACTTTAAAAGCTCGCTCAAGTACTGCGGAGCTAAACCATTTAGTGCTTTGTAAGTAATCAACAATATTTTAAAATTTATACGATGTTTAATAGGCAGCCAATGCAGTGTTGACAGAACCGGGCTAATATGGTCATATTTCCTGGTTCTGGTAAGAACTCGAGCTGCTGCGTTTGAACTAGCTGTAGTTTGTTTATTAAGCGTACAGGGCAACCACCCAGTAGAGCATTACAATAATCTTGCCTTGATGTCATGAACGCATGAACTAATTGTTCGTTAGTGAGAGCATATGGCGTAATTTAGATATGTTTTTAAGATGGAAAAATGCGGTTTTACAGATACTAGACACGTGACTTTCAAATGAGAGATTGGTATCAAAGAGCACACCCAGGTTCCTAACCGACGACGAGGACTTAACAGAGCAGCCATTATAGAGGTCTGGCTCTGCAATGGCATTTTCCAATCTGCAAACTGTTTGAGAACAATGGCATTGCAAACGACAAGATTTACTTGCCATCTGAATTACAAAGAGCAATAAATGCCTGTTTTTATCCAATTATCCAGAGGCATTTAGATGATGTTTGTAGTTGGCTGAGGTTTTCTCTGTTGCTAACCTTATAATGAAAGAAAACTATCTTTAAAAAAAAAATTCAAATAGTTCTGAAGAAGTACGGAAAAAGAATAATTATTAGAGTACTCCAGTTCTTTGGTGACCATATTGCCCCCTCACAGACAAGTCATAACCTACCATATTGAGTCCAGTCCCACAGCTTTGTTTGCATATAAACCTGAGAATAGTGTGGAATCAAACACCTTTGTGTCACGATTGCGGGCTTGTCCCATTGCCCAGGGAGGTGCTGACACACAGCAGCTGGTGTATGCAGTGTCTTGTCATGACATGAGTTAAAATCTTCCATAACCTTTGAAGCTATCAGAAGGTGAGATATGTGCTTTAAATAACACAGTAATGATAGAACGATCTATTCAGCTGCTTCAAAGATTTGTTGACCTAGTGAACTGAGAACCGGTTGCCTCTGTGTATTTGTGCAAGCACTGCTCACTCAAATACTTGACTGTGTTTTGAAGGTCATTTCAGTAGTATAATATTAAACATTAAACTTCATTACATTTTTCCCATTAATCTACACTTGAATATTTATTTTAACACTGCATAGCAATATTTTTACAGTATAGCATCTTTTCAATTATGTAAATAGAAGACTGCATCCACATATATCTTATTATACAACAGTTAGTTTCGGTCCCCGAATTTTATTGGCAGAGTGAAGTTCCACTGTGTTTGCAGGTTCCTGACAGGCATTGACTCTTTCTCCATGCAGGTTACATCAATATAGACCTTAGTCAGGTTAGACGCCATATTGAATTGAATGTAGAGGAAAACAAGGCTGTGATGGATAGATTTACAGTATTTACAATGGCAAGCACTGTCCAAAGTTCATAGATCATGTAATTTGAATGTAACTTGCAACTTTTAAAACTGTTTTATGGAGTTTTTGTCTACTGGAAGGTTTTTTTTTTCCTGCAAGATGTTTTGTCAGCTGAGCAATCAGTATTTTATCAAACAGCAGTACAATCCATTGAACGCACTGTAATTCTATACCTCATAGCCTCATTTTCATTTGTGTCAAAAATTAAATATGGTGATCCCCTATCTAAGGGCTATACCAGTAGGTGGCTGTCTTTATGACTACGTCCTTGAATCTCATTCAACCTATTTGTTAGTTTAACAACACTGATTAAGGAATGAAACACGTTAATGGCTTTTTGAGTGTGATATTGATTTATTCTGTTAATCTATTAGTTCAAAAACTGATTCAGTCAGAAATGACAGTGACTTGCTTAATGAGTGAGTCATTGAATCATTTAGTTAAAGGACAAGTTCGGTATTTTACACTTAAAGCCCTGTTTTAAAGGGGTCATATAATGCCATTTTTGTACAAGTTATTATGAATCTTTAGGGTCTAAATGAAAACTTTGTAATATACTTTTATTAAAAATTCTCATTAGTATTGTAAGAAAACACTAGCCTGGGAAAACCCAGACAACTTCCGGCAAATTTAGATTTGCTCTGAAAGTTAGTCTGGCAAAGAGCTCATTCAAACCCATTTCTAATCCGTTGAAATCGCGGCACCAATCAGAAACGTTGGGGCGGGCTTTACATGATGACGATAGCGCTGGGATTTTGAAGGAGATTTTGTAGCCTACATTGCAAAGATGGATGCCGCCGTCGAACATCACTCGTTCGAATCAGCTATCGCGTCTGTTTTAAACGATTTGAACGTTTCCTTTTTGTTAAAAACCGAGCAAAGAACAACACTCGGAGATTCTCCGCCGCTCTGCATACGTCATCTCCTTCATCGCTCTGATTGGTTTTAGGTCTATCCGCGACGTCCGTTGGTGATGCCCCTCTGGAAATGATTTGTCTATGACGCTTTGCCAGACCATAACTCAGTTACAACTGAGAATGGTCTGGTTTTAACCAGGCTAAGAAAACACAAATTTTACCTGGTCAAAAACAGCTCTGTTTTCAGCACGCCGTTTCAGTGCATATGCCTTTAAATTATAATGAGCTTCGCTCACTCTGCCCCTCTGTCACCACAGAAACCGAAAATTCTCGGGCTAGCAGCATGTGTCCAAATTTCAATCTTAACCGTTCTATTTCATCAGAAACGATCTTAAAACAGGGCTTTAAGTGTAAAATACCGAACTTGTCCTTTAACCAATTCGTTAAAAAAGGCACCCATGTACCCAGATTTGCACAAACACTATATTAATATTGCACTGTTTGTATATTTGTAATTTATATTTGTAATTTACGTTTTTTTTTTTTTTTTTTTTGCATTTCAGGATGGAAAAGCAAAGTAAGAATTTCATTGTACAGGGAACTGTGCATATCATAATAAACTCTTTTAACTTTGAAAACACACCAATTTATTCAGAAAGGAAAAACAACAATTGATTATGCTTTAATAATAATACTACTACTTATAATAATTCATTACATTTTATGGCGCTTTTCTGGGTACTCAAAGGGCTTTACATGGAAGGGGGGAATCTTCTCAACCACTACTACCAATGTGCAGCGTCCACCTGGATGATTCAACAGCAGCTATATTGTGCCAGAATGTCCACCACACACCAGCTTATTGGTGGAGAGGGGACAGAGTTATGAAGCCAGGATGATTAGGAATGAGCCGCATCGTGACTGAATACCAGACCACTCCAAGAAAAGTGGTCTTCTGTACTAGAGAAAGCACACTCTTCTTGGCATTGAGCCTCAACCGGGGTAAGAGAGCTAGACCGAAAGGAAGTGCCTGATACTGGTGTTCTTTGCCCCTGAAAAAAAACCTCAGGAACCTCCTGTGCTGAGGGAGGATGGAGATATGGAAGTATGCGTCTTTCAGATCTATCGTGACAAACCAGTCCTCGGATCTGGTTTGAGTCACGGTCTGTTTGAGTGTCAGCATCTTGGACTTGTTTTCCAGCACCGAACACTCCAACAGATGAAGATCTAGAATATGACGCAGTTCTCCATCCTTTTTTGGAAAAATGAGATAACGGCTGTAAAGATCCGATGCAATGTTGGGTGAGTACACCTGCTCTATAGCTTTCTTTGCTAACAGGGCCTTTACCTCTTGCTCCATTACCAGAGCTTGGG